CCATATCTCACAGACATACCTTACATATTTGTAAATCTTCAAGCGTTATCAAGTCCCTTTAATTGAGTCACGTCAACAGTTTTCATTGCATGAGAATATTTTTTAATAACTATGAGTGCTATATTTTCGAAGGTAGAGGTTTATTTATTCATTATTTTTTTTATTTATTTGTAGTTATTAGACGTTCTAATTTTTTGTTGTACTGCTATTTCATTTACACTATTTTACCTTACTTTATTCACAGCAGATTACAGTTGCCAAAACTATTATTATTATTATTATTATTAAAGCCGGGAAGTCTACACCTGCGCATGAGTCCACAGTGTGTGCCTTTGCGTTGTTGTCATCGTTTGTGACTCAATTCTAACTCGTGCGCAGGTGATGACACCCCCCCCCCATTTGAATATATTTTTGAGCATTACCTTAGTTTTGTTTGTGTACGTCCCAAATAAAATATCATATCATATTAGAATCTGACAATGACGTCACTAGTCTTGAAGATAGTATTTGTCATCGCTTCGCATTACATGTTCGCTATTTTCAACGCCTATATTAATGAGCCGGAGACCTTGCTCGCACCTGCCAGATAGCATTTGGAAATTTCGGTCGTAATTCACGGTATTTTTTTTTACCTTAACGATTGAATCGCACGCTTAGACACTCGCCGAATGATGCTATAGAGGTAATTTCACCAATCAATGGCGATCATTGTGTTTTCCCATGATTCGTCGCACGAAGTTGACTGGAAACTGACGCGTTGACGTTATCGGAGTGAAAGGGCTTCAAATATCGGTCAAATATCAAATACACCGCATTTACTTCTTTGACACATAAATGAGTGGGCGAATTTGAAAGTATACATGTTTGTGGTAATATCAGCGAAGTATTTTGATAAAAAAAAGAATTTTCAAGATAATAAAATTCCCCGACAATTACGACCGAGTGGTGGAAATCGACGACTGGCACTTGTGCAACTTTACATACACGTACATGTATACTTTGTAAGAGCGTATTTAAATCACGCACAAATTGCGATACAAAAGTATAAACATGATATCTGATAAATTATGAACTTACATATACTCGGGCGCTGAATAGTACGCAAATCAACTAAATTGGTGCGACGTAGTTTATCGGTAAATGTACAAGGGGTCGAAACGGGACTTTCCGCTGTGCACTTAAAGTGCGCATGTGCAGAAACCTCGCTCTTTTGTTCGTAGGATAGAAAGTTTACCTTTTGCCTCAATGTCTTTGTTATCGATATGTACGGATCAGTGTGTCGTATTATTAGAAGGGAATTCCCCTGCTTTGAATTCCTGTTGTTCATTCAAGCTATTACATCTGAAGAACATGCGTAACAATGCAAAGCGAGTTCCCACATTTTCTAAAAAAAAAAGGAAAACGAAAACAATTAGGCTATACCATGGCTGTACATAGATTTGGACAAATTTTGATTTACAATATTTACAATAACCATATTGAAAATACTGGTACCCAAAAATATGCTTGGACGATAGAAATATGCTATATGGGAGATATGCATTCAATCCTATGTAAAACATTACATCAGATATGTTGACAGAATTCGGGAATTCTGAATTGATGGCGTTTTTGCAGTAGTGTTCTAAAAAATGTTCATTGGGTACAAATGTGCGCAAAGTTAGTACTAGTATGTTCATGATTCAAAAATCAGCAATTCAATGGCCTGCATGTTTAGGTTACTATACAGCCGCTGCTAGCAATGTTATCCTGGCAATAGTCTGTTGGGCTATTAATAAACTCACATATACTCGGACAATATGTTGGCCACATCTCTTGCTCAATAACTTTAATATTCTAGCCTTAGCTTTATTAGTTTTCGTTACTTTAGTGTATATGAGTTAAGATGGCCATAATATGGCCATCAAATATTTTAATATCTCCTATCAAATACTTCCTATATCTCGGCATGTATATCTGTGCCTGCAATAGTATTTGAGCTAATTGATTTATGCATATTTAATGAGGTCACATAATCTATTAGTTGTTCATTAAGATAATTACTCATTCAAGCCTGTTCATGTATCTACTTTGGCTTCACATATACTAGTAGTTGCATGCTTCATAGATACGGGCGTAGTCATGGATTCTAGGTCATCGAAGTAAAATATCAAAAATATCAGTCTTAAAAATCGTCCACTAGACCATAAAAACATCTATCTACTTTAGGGTAATAGGGTGACCACAAAATTGTTTTGAATTAATGCGAGCAATAGTTTAGGAAATGTGACCTATTTCTGAATGTTACATACAAATTAATTGTCCAAAGTTCGCAACCCTCTGCCAGAACACTTACGAAAACTAAATGCTGCGTTAATCCCTTTGTTATAAAATTGTCAATTAGGTATAGAAAGGGTCTAATAAATTATGTTATATTATGTTTAAATTCAGCGGTTTAGAAAGATCATTAACACATTTCCAAAATTCCCATATTATGTTACATTATATGACACCTTACCTTACGGTACGTTTTGTTATTTTTCCATTTGACAAACAGTTATTTGCAAACATAGATCTACGTTTGTGAATTTCACAATATTTGTGTTCATAATAATAATAATAACTTTATTACACTACCGAACCATCCTTGGGTTCAGTATGGTAAATAAAAGACAAATACAAAAAGTAAAACAATGCATTACAGTAATAAGCTAAAATAAAGATAATAAAATACCTAAAAGACCATAATAAATACAAATAAGAGAGATAAAACTAGAATAAAGCTTAAATAAGTGTAATAAAGTGTATAGTAAACAAAAGACAAATCTAATATCAAACAATAAAACAATGCAATACAGTAATGGGCTCAAATAAATATAATAAAAGCTAGTTGACTGACTATACAAGTAAGAACAGAAATAAGATAAAAATAAAACTAAAATAAAGCTAAAATAAACTGAACCCCCTTCATTCATATGTGAAGTGATTATTTATTTATTTAATAATGTAATCAATATTAAATATATATTCATTTTGTAGTGAAGTAAGTAAAAATAGCATTCATTTCATAATAATGCAACATTTTATTTCATAGTGCAATCGTTTCAAAGTACTATTCATTTCATAGTAGTGTCATGAATTTGTTTTCGCGTATCTGTTGACCGACTTAATTAGTTGATTACGAGCGAATTGCTGTGTTATGTCTGTCATCGTTTAAGCCTATTTGAAGTTTTGGACGGAACTTGGCTCAGTGGTTTGGAACTAATTACAAGATACCGTCGCTATTCTGACATCCATAGTTATTAATGTAGTGAACGATTAATCAAAAGATATGACGTATTCAGTACTTAGTGTGATTGGCTTTATGATTGAAGGTTACGCCCTAGAGTCTTTTTACTGCTTTGTAATTGGTTAGAGTTTTGAAAATGAATAAAGAGAGTTTGAGTTGGTCTTGGCGAATACTCCACAAGAGTCGAGAGCAGTCCGAGAGAGTCTTGGGGCGAGCCTTGACGCAGTCCAGTCTTGGGCGAGTCTTGATTCAGCCTTGAGTCTTGGGGACTTTTCCCCAGGGCGCTGTGTCTTATAGAGTGCTTCAAAAGATCCACTAAGACGAGAGCTGAAACGTATTTCGTTGGGTGTGCCTTATTTGACTGTAAAGTTAAAGTGACTTTCCCGATCCCGTACCTCAAGGGGACGAGATAGAGAGACGAGACGAGTTCCCCCCTGGCAAGTGTGGAGACCCCGAGAGAAAGAAGATTTTACCCATGATAGTAGTGTCATCGTTACAAGGTACGTATTAATTTCATAATGAAATATACGTATTCATTACATGATAGTGCAATTATTACAACGTTCGTATGCATTATAATGGTGTACTCCTAACTAGATACGTATTTATTTCATTGTGTAATCGTTACGAGGTACGTATTAATTTCATAATGCTGTAACACTTACAATGTACATATTCGTTTTGAAACAAGCTTTATAATAGCTGACTCTTCGGGATAACATAATAATAACTTCAGACGAGGTTTCGGATTTGCTGTTGTGTGTTTGCTTTCGTGGTTGTGTTCGTCAATATAAAAGCTGTTTTCTCGACTTGTATATGCTTTCCTACGTTTTTTCCCATCCCTAGGTGGAGTCTGCCAATTTTAGTATATTAAAACCTATTACTAAAAAGTATTCCCACAATATAAATGAGGCCCAGATCATAGCCTACCTTGTATTGTTGCATATAACTTCATAGTAGGGAAAAATATTCGTATTGTGTCAGTCCATTCGTTTAGCAACTCTATATAGAAAATGATATGTTAAAAACAAGAGCTGTCGGTAAAAAGTTATGTTTGAATTAGCGCACTGATCAAAAGTAGAAATCTAAGTTGATTTTTATTTCCATGGATGTTAATTATCGGACATACTATTTGAAACATGTTAAACTCATCGGACTTCGTCACATTGGTATATTAGTTTAATTGCTACAAATCAATAGAACTCTCCATATAATAATTATTTCAAATAAAGTACTTTAACCTACCCTAAAGGATAAATATATATTGCTTAAAAAGTTACAACCTCCCCGGTCTTTAAAACATATACGATAAATTATGTTGTAAGTTTCGTATTCATTGTTAACGACCCAAATGTGTATTAATTTAATATAGTGGTCGCAGCGAGAACAACGCCCTACTGCATTCAAAACACTGACAAAGCATTTCCGCATGCATGTTGTGAATCAGTCACGATTTTTATTTGACATATAGCAACAACATTTTAACCGAATGTGTTAAGCTCTATTGGGTAAGGAATGCAAAATGCTTTTTGAACTCTGGCCTGAAAGAGGCGCCCAAATATTTTTAATTTTGTATAATATAAAAAAATCATTAACTTAGTCTGGCGATTTTGTGGTTTGTCCGTGACGTCACATCTCGACTAGGGCAAAATCACTTACTAATTTCTGCGTGTGGTGATCATGGGAAATTCGTCAGCAGCTTGTCAGTTGCACCGGACGAAACCCACAGGCTGCGTCAGTCGGAGCCCGAGCATGCTACAACGCGAGACCTGTTCGTAGTAACATGACATCAAGCGGGTTTAGTTTGTTCGCTGCCGTTTCGGGGGTAACCGGCTTGTTCGTGATTCCAACACTCTACAGCTTTCTACTTGACACGAATTACATCAGTTTAAAGAAGGAATCCGAATCAGAACTCGGAGAAATACCTATATTTAACATTTATACCGAACAACCATATACTAGCGATGATGCGTGGATGCTGGGAACACATGCAGAAACTATGACAACCGACAGTGGTACTGCAACAACTGCCGCGACGGTGCGTCCAAACATTGCAAGTGAGGTATTTCATCGTATCTATTCATACCTAATACATTAAACATAATGCAATGGCATGCTCTGGCAAATAATTTAGTATTCCTAAATAACCGTGCAAAGCTTTTGAGATAATGATGACAGCGGTCCAGTGTTGACAATAGTACTATATACTGAATTATTCTCTCGAATGTCTATATGTCATCAATACCGACAACCAATATACATATGAATGAAGTATTGACCGGTCTACTAGTATATATAAACATTTATATATATTTATATATAATATATATGGCCAAAATAATTACATTCGTTTTAGAAATGTCGATATTTGACCTACACCGTCGCGTTCACCGTAATGAATCATACGTAATACGTAATATCATAAAATCACGGTATACCCTCACTATAGAGTGATTTTTTTTGGGTCTAATATGTGAGAATATCGATTGCGGTATTATAAATAAATGGTACACTATTGACACGCCGTATATAGTAGTCGCGCCGCGTCGTGTTCTATACGGGTTGCATGTGACGCATACATCGTCCGTAAAACATATTGTTTACATGCAATACTAACGCCACTATGGGACGACAAAATAAATGACTTTTGAACGCCGCTGTGTAACGACTCTTCAAAGGAGAAATGGTTGACACCGTCTCCGTTTTTTCACATTTTGAGATGAGCCTGAGCGCACATAAGACTGTTATTCTACACGGCACAGCTGTATGTTTATGTATGCATATCCCTAATTACACGTACACAGGTCACAGTATATAAACCATGACTGAAATATTCGTAAATTCAAAATTGTGGTGGGTCCAAACGGCCACCGATCACATAGTGTGAAGACCATATGAAACGAATGTCGCACAACAAATGCACCACATTGATATAAAAGTAATACACAGAAACAGATAACCTAAATTACCATTAAAACGAAGAGATTGATTCTGTTTACTGTATTATAAATTGTCACATGGTATTTTAATGCGCCTTGTTTTTATCTATGTCTATGTCATTGCCACCTCCATTCATTTGGCAGATTATATTTTGATTTCCCGCGGCTCGTAAACACAAACCCAATAAAAATGGATGAGTTATTGTATATTTAATAGCGTTTACAATTTATTGTGATATAATTCCATTTTGGTAAAAATTTGGCACATTAATGTTATACAAATTATGTTGGTGGTTGTGTGATCAATACACTTTAAACGTGAACGGACCAGCAAACAGTCTTGTCGTCGTTGTGCCGTTTAGACGATGTTTCGTTCAGAAAACAGTAGGAATGTAGCACTTTAAAATATCACGAAATGACACCGACACCACATTCACAAATGCAACAGAAACCACAAAACTGTGCGATCTGAAAAAAGTGATGAATAGTAATTCTAAATAAACTGGTCGCCATGTTGGTTTCAAAAAACAAACTACGAAGGCATGCGATACACAGTATATATTGTTAGTAACATGAATTACACGAATGTTTGACGGACTACAAATGTTATCAACAGCCATAAAAACAACCTATACGTACATTAAAAAACCTATTGTACATATAGCAAATTTGCCACATGTTAGTTTAAGCGATTAGTGACGTGAGCTACCTGTCACATAAGTTAAAACATATTTACGTTGTAGCAGCTGCAAACAATATATTGAGTGGTTAAACTCTAATCCCAAGGTTCACTCGTTATAATGTGGTACACGATTTGCACGCGTACATTTATATTAACATCACGAATGGGGTGCATAGCATAAGCCCATTGTCGTATAGCTGACACATATATATTGCTTTTTCATCCGGTCTGCTTCAGAAAAGCACAGATGAATAAAACTCCCGCGTTTTGGGCTTCGATCACAAAGTAACAGATGCTAAACACTTTATATTGTTTACGTTTAAGCACCGAAACCATTAGTGATTACACATGTATGAGTGGTGCAGACAAACCGTGGAAGTGGTAAACACGCCATTCATCAACAATCCAACTATATTCCAATGGTACACCCAACTGAATATAAGATTAGGAGAGCTAAAGCATTCATTCTTCGTACTGTTTTTTTTTCGTCTTGAGGTAAACGCCATTAGTCATCTTTCTCTAGACTGTATACCGGAAGTAATGATTTCAGTTGTACCATCATCTATTTTTCAATGTCCCACTTTCCCAAATTATTGGGTTTACAATTCATAGCTGATTCGATATAACAAGACACGTAGTAAATATGTCTAGTTGTGTGTAAAGATAGTACCCTCTCACCCAGACCGTTAAAACAAGGATTCACCAGAATATGTATAGACCATGCATGTAGCCAACATAAACTATTAGGCTATGACTCTGATTAATATATTCCACACGGCCAAGGAAGTGCTGACCTTTTTCGAAATAAATACTAGTAATACCATTACTATACCACGTTTGTTAGTCTGTTGTTTGTTGTCTATTGCCGTGTGTTCTTGGACTTGTAAATTATCTTCACGAATTATGATTATGGATAACATTTCTCTGTGTCATCCATGGTGGTTTCTAGTTTTGTATTCTTGTAATACGATTTGACTAATTATGTCTATTAATTACTTTTTCGAGGTCTTTCTTTAGGATAATTTTTGTGTGAATTTGTTTGAATTTTTGAACTCGTAAATCACTTAAAGAAACTGACATCCCATGAGATGTCGTTGATTGTTTTCTATTATTTAGGGTTCTTTTCATTGTATTCCCTGTTTATGAATATGACTTACCTTACCCAGGGTCATCTTTGTATATTGGATGTTACATATATATATATATAAGAAAGAAATCTGAATACCCAAGAGGCCGCAACTTTTGGTCCGTGAACGATCCATCTTGTTTTTTCACAAATTATAAAGCGAAAGCATGCGACCGTTTTCTGACAATGAACTGACTATTGTTTCATGTATGTCTGTTATGAGTCGTGCGGAGCGCCATCTTGAGTCCCACTCGCCTCACATGCCAATTAATAACTCCCGACGTGCGTAGTTCATGCATTTCAACAGTTGTAAATCAATAAACTGCTCAGCTGCGCCTGGGAGCCAGGCATTACTTGCTACATGTCAAATTTGAATATGTATTGTAAAAAAATGATGATATGGATTCAATGATTTTTCCTATCAAATGAGAATGATTTTTGTTACACATCATTTGTTTCTCATCGTACCTACAGATTCCCGAGAAAATACGTGACACGAAAACAGGAACAAATACACTTCTACGATATTCAAATCACAGCCCGACATCGACGTTGCCAAAGACTCCAATATTGAGTTACCATGGAAGCAAGCCAACTCAAAACATAGATGTTCGTTATTTATTTGCTATTCATGTCTGACTTGAGGTTACGATAACTTGTTCTTTATTGTTTTGTTTGCTTCGATTTTATATTATTTCGCATTGTTTACACAGTCGCTTATTTCCCATATTCACAGATTCCTGGGACAGTACCTGGAACAAAAACAGAGTCAAACAAAATTGTACAAGATACAAACTACAATCCGACATTGCCGAAGTCACCAATCATGAGGGAGCATGAAAACGAGGCAATGCAAAACACAGATGTTCGGTATTTGTTTCCTATTCACTACTATGCTGGTGGACCAAATTATCAGTACAATGACTTTAGGATTGCTCTGCGTTATGCAATCAGTCAAAATCGTTCTATCGTGGCTATTGAAGTGAATGACCATTTCACGCAGCCCGCTGAAGTGCGCACAGGTCTACATTCTCTCGAATCTACTTTTGACGTAGACGAATTAAGAAAAATAGTATCTATCGTAAGTATTGATGAATTTAAACGAGCGTGTCAAAGTTCATTTGACGGTTTTATCACGGAACGTACCAATTACTGCTCTCCAGAAAAATACACAGACGAGTACGTACGAACAACAGAGATTTTTGAGAAAAACTATGGCGTGAAGCTCCCCGAATTAACAAATATTTCGAGAACACGAGAAGAGTATAGACGTCTGTATGAAGAAAGTAGTTCTGCTCGTTGCCTGGGCATATTCCGACCGTGGGACATCGATGATTGGCGATTGCCTGACAGAGCAGAAATAGACAGAAAGATCGACATGCACATGAAATGGGCGCCCTACATCAGAAAAATGGGAGAACAAGTTGCGAGGACTTTATGTGATGGGAAGCCTTACTTAGCTGTGCATTGGAGAAACAGAACAGGAGAACCGTAAGTCTGAATGAATAGTTTTGGTCAGGGAAATCACGAGGCTTAACATTAGACAAGACAGTTATAAATATGTGATGTTTCTGTGGTAGAGAAGTCACTTGAAAGTATGTTCATCCTAGAAGATGGAACTATCGCTCGAATTCCAAAAAATAATTCAAACTAAGGTCATGTTTGATATATGTGCGCCCTGATTATTCTGTATTGAATGACATGAATAATACATTTTAGTTTACCCGATCGAGGTAATGATTATTAATGACGTATGCAGAATTTATGGCTAGGGACACACTTTTGATATGACGTCATTATCGAATTGTATGATGATAATAAATATGTGTATGGATGTTGTGCAAAGAGTGAGACGTTGTATGGTTGCACCTCATGAGTCCACCAAGGTTACAGTAACCGATATACGAGTTGGTCAGTTATATGTTACATATCGTTGAAAACGTACTCCTATCTAAAACTCCTGGATGCAGTTGGATTTCTGTTCTACATATCTTTCTGTTTCCGACAGATAGGTGTACGTCGTCAAATCCCACAACATGCCAGTAAAGTCACGTACTGTGGAGATCAAATCCCCCCCCAACGCATTGCACCGCAATCTATAAAATGAATACGTTTCTTATCCTAATGTATATGTTCAAACAAAGTCGGACATAATATGAGAAATTATTACATGCCTTAATAATTTATCATTTATGCTCAATGAAATAAGGAGGCATATTTATGCCAATCAATCCAAAGACTGGAAAGACAAGACAGTTATATATATATATATATAATGCATATTTTAATAGCAAAATGTGGTACGGGAATAACCAAATTGTTGTACAGTTGCAATCATTATTGTGATTGCGTAAAAGTTAAAAATACATAGGACTGAGGACATTGTTGTGAATACTCGAATTTTAGTTTGCAACCGATTAGGTGCATGATAGTTTTGCTCAAATTATTGAAAATTACTGTCGCTTGAAATCTGCATAACCGGAAGTCGCTGCTTCATTAGCATTATACATTTGTTGAGCTATAAAGTCAATCATATATGTAAGAGCATTTCTCTGGAAAATGCTTCATGTACATGTTTGTTGAATCACAGTCCCTCTATCCATGGAGGATAGATGACAGAGGGACTGTGGTTGAATGCCGCTTTTCCATATGCTCAATAAAGTATACCGAGGAAAAAAGTTTAAATAAAAAAATAGAAAAAAAAAACACATTTTTTTTTCATTTTCGTCACACAGGTGCCGAATTGTTACGAAAACTTCCAAACAAGGTTTGCGATATGGCAGCGAATCGAAATGCTTAAATAATATCAGAACCCTACAAACACTTGAAAAATTAGCGGTGGGTGCCTCCAGGGATGTGCATGACGTCATGAAGCGACATCAATTATCATGCGTGTATGTTGCATTTCCGTTCTACAGTGGGGTAAGAGACATTACCGTGTTTTCTTTGTCTTTGTATGTTTACGTGACTGCAAATTTATTTGTAAAATCATAGTAGCTGTTGACATGAAGCAAGTAAATTATACCGAAACACGACTGGGTAAATACTATGTCAAATCAAAGTAAACTACGTGCGTGACTCAAACCGAAACTGGCCCACGACGCCAAATTGCCTAGTTTCACGCCACGGCATGGTACCGGTACTTACCCAGCCATATATTCGGCGTATACTTGCAAATATGTTTACTTTTGACATTTGATAATGTGTAACCACACATATAATTAATTGGTTTATGTGTTTGTGAAAACTAATATATCTGTATTGATACAACAGAAAATTATCGAAATATTAAAAGATGCTGACGTTACAGGAATATGGTCATTCGCTAATATAACAACAAATGAATACCCAGAGATCCAAGCCGTGAAGAATGACAATTACGTAACGTCATTGGTAGAACAGGAAATTTGCAAACGTAAGTAATGTACGTTTGATAACACGGATAATTCATTATGGCCGCCGTCGCTGTCACGTGCATTCGAACGCGTACTTATATTGCGCAATATACTTTTTCAAGGAATTGCAATAAGAACAGAAAACTTCGAATACAAATATATTGGTCAGTAAAACAATGAGTCCTGTAGTTTTAGACGTTCACGCGGATTTAATTTGTCATGGAAATAAAAACAAATAAAACCCAGTCAATAATATTTTACACTACTAACCTTGTTTATTGTACATACATTGTCTATTTTTACTTTCATCTTAGGGTCCAAAATTTTTATTCAAAGAAGTGAATCAAATTGGTCAGAAATGGTGAGATACGCGAGAGACGCCAACAGTGATGTCACATTAACAATGCAAAGACTGCCATGGTACATGAAGGCAACAACTGTACATTCATTATAACTATTAACCGGAAATACCAGAACATGAAACTGTGATATTGATATAAAAGGAATGCGGAGTGTGGATGTCATGTAATCTCATACTTGCATTATGTGTAGCTTTGACCCATGACCCGTAATAATAGACATATACCCTGGTTGTAAATATTTGTGACATTTTAATTTATTCAAATGTTAATACGGCACGTAATATAAAACTCAATAACAATGCTAACAGTACCCTGACATCATTAATAATAAATTATTTGAATTTATAGATAAGTTTATATTTCATGATTTGATGATTCTTAAAGGTTAAATAACATTGCTAAACATAGTTAAACACTTGTATCCCGGACATACACTCACAATTCAAAGACAATTTGTATTTACATTTTTACACAATTTCAACACGGGGACAGTAAGTGACTTTGAAAAATATCTTAATTGGAAATAATAAAAAATATGGTATTTGTACATATTTAGAGCATATATAATTTACAATATTAATTTGGTAGTAAACAACCTTTAATTTAAGGTATTGTTATGAAAAACCTGAAAATGATGTAAATTTTCGAATAAATATCGAAACAAAATAAAATATTTCAAATTTAAAAATAAATATCAAATTTTGCAGAATGTTGTAGAATGTCTCCATCTTCCTCATAACATCCAATATACAAAAAAAACACCAAAAAACAATGTTACGTCTGACTAGCGTCTTACATTACAATGTGTAATATAACTGTACATGTTTCTTATTTCATCGTATTACTTTATTTGTTGCATATACTTGACATTACATGTGATAAAATGTTAAAAAATAATTATCTAAATTGAGAATGTGCTGTTTGAATTATTGTAAGTGTTCGATAAACCTGTATTATTTTATTTGAAGTAACTTCTTTGAAAGTTATAACAACGTATAGAGAAACGAGTGTTTGGCATCTTTTTTTTCTAGCAATGAATTATTTGCACCAAAGACAGAGATATTCCAGTCCAAAGTGGTAAAATATCTTGAATGGTAATATGCCAAACAAAAGTTTACCTTATAAATATGTGGCTTTGGGGACAAAAACTAAAAAAGAAAACCATGCATGAAGCCCCCTGTTCATTAATAATTGACAACTGAAAGAATTTGTTATTTGGCAGATACCCTGTACTCACAATGATAATTTTAATCTACGTTATTACCAATTTCATTGCGTGATTTTAAAAAGAGATCAAAATTATTAAACACATATTTTCAGTTTTACCCATATCATGTTCGTTTCCCTAGTTAAGTCGCCGCGTTCTCTTGTCGGCAATTTCAGTTTGAATTTACAAGGAACGAGTTTTTAGAACATCACACGACACCAAAACGTTTCATATTATGTTGACTTCACTCTGACCCACCACCTTCTTTCACCTTTTTCACTAAAAACGTGTTCCATTAACATAAATAGAGAGTTTGAGATTTGCGTACGTAACGGGAACGTAACGTGTTGTTCTAATTTTATTTGCATTACGTTCTCGGGTGTCGGAAAACGATTAAAGGGGAACCGCTCAATCCCTTGGATTGCACCAAGTGCTTATGGGTAATTAACTCCGCCTCTGTCCACTGAGTAAATGAATGTTTATCTTTCCCCTTGTACAAGCGTCCACAGCGAGAACGTAACTGAAACAGAACCATGTCAATTCATCTCTCATTTGGCAACCATCTATCCAATAAAATTTGTTATGTCATTTCACGTCCGGAAACTGAATTATTAGTTAATTAGACATTTGACAGAGCTCTCGCTATTTCCACCCACTCTGCTGAGGTCCCGGCCTGTTTGCCGAATCCTCTTTCAGCAAATCAATGTCATGCGTTTTCAGTGGGTATAAATATCAGCTAATATAAATCCAATATTTCTTATCTCATCATAAATATACAAAATCACTCCAATATAAAACGTTGTATCAATGTCAGTGAAAATTAATCAAAATTGACAGCGAGAAAAGCTCTCGGAAAAGAACTATGAGTCAGTCACCTTTATCACGTTCAAAACAACTGCCGTGCGACCAGGCAACCGATGACGTCATCGATTCGCGCGAAGAACATGCACAAAGCAGTGACGTGTCCGTTCTCGTTCCGTTCTCGTATGCGCATCTTAATGTCTCTAATATCAAACTAATGGTATCCATGTCCAAGACAGTAAATGAAAACTACATTTGGTTCCTTTTACAAAAAACAAATACAAACACAAAATGCGGTAAGTCAAGTATCGTTACGTCTACTATAAACATGTAAATGAGTGTCACTGTTTTTCTGAAGCGAGATGTTATTACTGAGTAAGTGTTAAATTATCAACCCAACTTAAGGTACAAGCCTAGTCATAATTTTTGACAAAATTCGTCATAAATCGCACAACAATGTTCATTGATTTATTATGTACAATCATGAAGCTAATGTTTCATGGTACAATTAAATAGCATTATTTTGTGTGTTACAATTAAGCTTTTTGAGAAACGTGTCCTAGTATTTCTTGAAAATTGCTATTTTTAGATCAATTCCATAGAAAACATTGTTAAAAAAAAAATTCATGTTTTGACACTTTCAAAATACCCAGATTTTTTAAATAATTCAGAACAACATAAGGTACTCCATCATTAACAATATATGATTTTTCAGGTTATGTCACCAGGCTAGATTTTGAGATATTGCATAATATCTCTGCCATAGGAACCTGTGGTAAAAGTGTTATTATAGTGTCAAAATGGCGACTTTCCACTAAAATACAACCATCAATTTCTCAAAAAAAGGCTGGTGACCCCCAACTTTTTTTAAGTCAATATCCTTATATTGGCTTGGAGTACAATTCATTGCAAAATGAATAAATTCTGGTTTTTTTAATTTATGAGTAGACTTCTACCTTAACAACAATTCAAAATCACAATATGTAATCACAACAAGTATATACCTCAATTTAAATTTAAAGCCATTGCTTTAATTTGAGACATAATTTTAATAAAAAGCACAATTAATAAATTACTATCTTTATTCCACAATACTAAGTAAGATTATAAGGTTATTACGAAGATACCTCAAAG